ACCATGCGGGGAAATCCAGAGCTCAGCGTAAGACTCGGTGCTTTTGAGACACACGTGAGACAAAGGCGCTGAGCAGAGTTGTGGGTGGGTGGGTGGGGTGTGAATCTGGTTGGAGATTTGGAATCCCTCAACATCTAGATGGTACATACAGGTCTGGAGGAGACGCTCTCACCCAGGTAGCCATGGAGAAAGCAGGGTTGATTTTCGTGGACTCTGTGGCAGATTACCAAGTTATTCCCTGGAGGCGTGAAGCTCAGGCTTGGGCGCATGTCAGCATCAAGCCCAACTTGGGAACTAGCCCCAGAGTTTTAGGGCTGCAGAGCGATCAGCACCCCAGGTGATTGTGATGCAGGGGATCAATACGTGTAGATATTACTTTAAGATATTGTGTCCTCGGGGATAAGTAGGCAGATGTCACAGCATTCCGAAGAATATTTGTCCCCTCCAGGCCTTCACCTGCATCAGGTTTTCCTTCCTGTGAAGGGGCGGTGGGGGTGGTATCTGGAGGTAGCACCCACACCCTGGGTCTCTGCTGATCATGCTGCAGAGGGAAGCTGGTTCACCAATCTGCTACTCACTTCAGAGCCCACCAGCCAGCTCGGCTTTGTGGATAAGTCACTCAAAGGGACCCCTCAGCTGTACCCTTGGTGAGGGGCTGCCATTGTCTAAGGGACAGAGAGAGCCCAAGGCTTTCACTTCCAAATGCCCAGCCCTTGCCCAGTGCCAAGCCATCCCCGCCAGCTGCTGAGGGTGTGGTTCCGGTGTCCAAGCCAGAACCTGCCAGCTTGGGACGGCTGTCTCCCTCCACGTGCACATGAACCTTGTTTCACCGTCCAGGTTTGAAAATGATGAGCGCTTCAGACTCCTCGTCCTTCTCCGTTTACTACAGCCTGTCCCTTAAGTTTTGCCAAGTCTTCCTTAAAATGCCACTGGAGTGAGTTCCTTCCTGTCCCCACTGCCCTTGACCTGAGCGGCCCATCATGTCAGCCTCCTCCCCGGGGTCTCTGCCTCCTGCCTTGCCCCTGGAGTGAAATATGACTTTCTTTCATGGTACGTATCACAATATCTGCGATCATGCATTAGTTTGCGCATTTCTTGGCTTGGTTTTCCTCTCGTCACCAAGTCACACACTCCACAAGGCTATGCCCATTTTGCTCACCACCCTGAGCCCAGGGCTGATCCCTGTGGTTGGCACTGAGTAGGTGTTCAATAGGGTGTTTGCCTGAAGGCTGGCATTGTGACCAGTGCCTCCTGTATCCGCGGTTCTCCCTCCTCCGGTTCTTGGCTCATGCTTTGACCAGCAGCATCTTCTTCTCAGAACACGAGCTTCTTCCGTGTCCACCTCTCCTTGTTGGAGGTGTTCAGTGGGTCCCACCTCCCTTTCCAATGCCGGTGGGAGCTGTTTGAAGTTCAGCGCAAGCCCATCGGGAGCAAAGGTCATTAATAAAAAGGCAGAGAATTTACAATTGTGGGTTTGTTTCAAAAGAAACCCCAGGCCCATGAGCACTACAGGAAATATGAGTCAAAACCTCCAGGTACCTAGTGTTCCCGAAGTCGGGCCTTGATAAAATCAGCCTTCACCGTTTGAACCTGCCTTGCATACTTACCGATATTCAGCCCAGACAGCCCACAGCTCTCCTTTTCAGCTGCTCACCTGATGAGGTCAGAGCACTTACACCTGGGAGTAGTGCAGTGTGGGTAGGGCAGGGCTGTGGGTGAGATTCAACCTTGCTTAGGGATTGGGGGCATTGTATGTTGTGTGTGTGTGTGTGTGTGTGTGTGTGTGTGTGTTCAGAGAGAGAAAGAATAAGAGAGGGAGTAAAGGAGTGGGTAGGAACAAAGGTTGGGATATCTGGGGAAGACAAGGCCAATTCTTTGACCACAGCTATTTAGGGTAAACGGAAGACAAAGTACGGTAGAATTTCCTCTGCAACCAACACTGGCCAAGTTTCTCTTTCTTAACCAAGAGGAAGCTCCGTTTGCTCAGGGAAACTGAGAGCTACATAGTCTTCAGCCTGGAAAAGCCCTTGCAGAGGTGGCTCAGTTTATGAATCAGCCAGGCCTTCTAGCGGGGACTTTAATCCAAATTCCCTAGAAGTCTGGAAGTGTCTCACCCACCCTGCTTGGAAAAGCTCTTTTGATTTCTCCTGTAACCCTGGCTGGGAAGAGAAGTTCTCCTAAAGCCACGGCGAACTAGCTCAGTTGAGAGGGCGTCACACTGTCGTGGAAGATGCAATGGGCATTTCCATGAACTCGGCGGAGCCCCCTGATGCTTCTCCTGAGAAAGAGGGACCCCAGGGCCCTGACTAGCTATCTGCTGGTCAAGTTGTTCTCCTCCTTGACCTGGTCTCTTCCAGCGATATCTGCTCCAGGCCCTCAGGGGTGCCTCCACGTCTCTGGGCCTTTGTATTTTCTTTTTGGTCAGTCTTCACCCAGACCTGCCTCCAGGCTCCTCCTCTAGGGGAGAGCCATTTCCATCACCTCATTTCGGGGAGAAAGGGATGGGCCCTGAACCTATTCCCACCCTTGACAAGGAAGGCAACAGGGCAAGTGTCAGAGCAGGTCCACAGTCATGGGCCTGCTGGGAGTTTTCTCAAGGTGTACTTTCCCAGAAACGGGGTTTTTCTTAGAGTGAACGAGGGAGAGGCAGGGTCGATGGTGACACAGGGGAAAGTTGAGGGGTTCCCAGTCCCCTCCTCTGGGTTCCAGGCTGGGACAGAGCGAAGTGGATGGGGAGCTAGGTCACTGGCCGGCCAGGCTGGGCTTTGCTCAGTCCACTGGGCTGACCTCAGTGAATGATTCAAAGCCTGTGTGGCTTTTCATGGAAGGAGCTGGTGCCTTTCGGAGAGTACGAAGCTGGCCCTCACCCTTCAGAGAAACACCATTTGGAAGTCCACCTGGGCCCCGGGGAGGCGGGAGGGGGCTCCAGTCGTCAGAGGTTATGCACGAGGTCGCCGCTTCCTTTGCAGCAGCGTTCTGCAAGAACCCTTCCACACACACACCTTATCTCGTTTTTCACCATTTCTAAGAAAAGCAGCTCACTTCCCTTCTCAGCCCTGACAGCGAAGACAGCGTTGGAACTCATGACACCCCCCACAAGGCGTTCTCAGCCCTGTGGGACGGATGGGGGCCCGGGACTAACCTTTGAGAGGGCGGCGGTTTGCCCAAGGTCACAGACCCACACACGGTGACCTGGGGTTTGTCTGAGTCCCTGGTCTTGTTGTTGAAGCTCCTCTCCCACTCCCTAGTCACTGTCACGCTCAGTGACTGCTCCAGAGACGCTCATCCGAAAGCAAGCTGGTCGGTGCCACACAATCCCTGTGTCCTGACAATTTATTGGGTGGGGGGGCCATACACTGTGCTCAAGCACACGCACATCCAACCTTCTCATGAACCAGGCAAGCCAGGTTGGTGCCAGTATTACAGATGTTCCCCCTGGGGCTCAAAGAGGAAAGGTGACTGGCCCCAAGTCACACGCAGTCGCCAGTGGAGTTTGAAGTAGCATGTGGTCCTGAGGTTCCCAGAGTTTCCTGTTGCCTCTTCAATAAATAAATGACCGAAATAAATACCCACACCTTTCAGGGGAACCCCGAGGAACCTCCCCTCAAGAATTTCAGAGGTCAGTTCTCAGACTGGTACCTTAGAGTTTTTGGCAGAGGGGATGAGGCCTTGCTGGGACAGAGAAACACAAGATCACACCAGGCCCTGCCGCCCCCTCCCAAATGCCATGCCCCTGGCTGTGAACTGGGCTTGCTTGCGACCGGATTCTAAGCTGACGACGGGCAGTAGGGTCCACACCTGCCCTTGCTGGACCCCTGGGCACAAGTGGCTCTCTGACGTGTGGCCCAGACTTACACAGCTCACATCCTTCCAGCCAGGTGCCCGACGGCGTTGGGATGTCACCCAGCGGCCAGCTTGGCTAAACCTCGGCATGGCAGGAGACCTGGAGACTGCATCCTTATTTCAAAGGGGAAACTGGGGCCTGCTGAGACCTAGCTGGCCCCAGGTCATCCTACTGAACAGTGGAGTTCTCTGTCCCCCGGGGTAAAGCTGGATGCCAGCAGTACACAAAGGGGCAGGTCCCAGCTCTGACCCGAGGGAGTGTGACCAATACAATCAACCATGGCTCCTCTGGGGAGTCAGCCAGGTGGCGAAGGTGCAGATGGTGAGTGGCCTGGCCACTGTGGGGGCCCTGGGGGCTGCTGTACTTTCTGGGAAGTGTGTGTGTAGGGGGTAGTGTCTGGAGGCAGAGGGACCGCTGAGAGCCAGAAGCCCCATTCTGGCCTGTCACATCATGCCCCTGAGTCTCCTCAATGCTGTGCAGACAGGTTGGCTGACCCAGGTAGACACACACCTGAAGGTCTTTCAGGGACGACCTCTCTGCTGGTATCAGCTGCCTCCTGTTTCCGGCTGGAGCTGGAAGCCCGGAGGCCTCCCCCCTCTGGTCCTCCAGCCTGTGGGGGCCCTTGGTCCCTGGTGGCCCCTGGGTGAGGCCCGGGTACAAGCTGACTTCAGCCTGACGGCCCCACCACAAGTCCAGAAAACCCCAGGCAGACCATTCTCGCAGAGGCAGCGGAGTCCCAAGGGGGAAGGGGGCCTCTGCTCGGGCCCCCTCCTTGACCAGGCTCCCTCCTTGAGTGCTGCCCCAGCAGAACCGGCCAATGCCACCGCCTGCCCTGTTCCAGTCCCACAAGGTCACCTCCTCCTGCTTGTAGGCATCATGGGGTGGGTCTGACGAGGGTTGGCACTGCTGGTTTGCAGACAAGTGCCCAGCCTGGCCTTATGGTTCACCTCTGAGCTCCTGGGGGTGCCGGCTCCTCTATCGCCTCCTCCCCGCCAGAGGGCCATCTTTGTCCAGGGTGACCCAGGGGCGAAGCACACATGGCTGAAGTGTCCCTTAGCCGGGGTCACTATGGAGGCTGGAGATCAGCGGCAGGGCCACCAAGTCCGAGTCAAAGCTACTCAGGAGGCTCCCTGGGGCCACCACACAGTCCGGGGGAGCCAGATCCGGGAGAACAACATCCCAGTGAGCGGTTCCCAGTGCACCACAGGTGGTCAAGCCCTGGCCTTCCTCGGTTGGTTGGTTCCACTGTCCTGCTGGGGTCCCTGAGAGAAGGAGAGCCACCCCTGGGGGGTCCTGTTTCATATAGCCTCTGGCCAGGGCTGGAGGAGGCCACCCTGCCTCAGCATCCAAGCATGTCGGGAGTTGGGGGCTCAGGTTGTCTGTTGAGGAGGGTTCTCCTCCGAGGCAGCCGGCAGTGCCCACCTCCTCTGTGCCTCCTGGCTGCTTCAGGTAGCCTCGGCACACCACTGCAGCCAGGCCTTCGTCTCCAGGCAGCTCAGGCTGTGGGGTGCTGACCTTGCTCAAGGCCGAGCTGCCCCGTGTGTCCCCAGGCGGCCTTGCAGAGTTTTGGACGAGGCCAATGCCACTGTCGTCCTGGTCCTGCCTGTCCGAATGCAGCTCCCAGCCGGGCTCTGGGCTGGCACTCAGACTGGGCTCCTGCAGGCAGATGCCACTGTCCGTGCTGTCACTACTGCCCCCAGTGCAGCTGCTCTCCAGCCCTGTGGGCTCCCCCTGCCCCAGGGCCCCACCAGCCAGGGAGTGGGCTGTAGAGAGGAGGAACTGGGGCTCTTCAGTCTGCAGGGACGGCTTGGCACTGCCAAAGCCACTGTCGGTGCTGCCGTGCAGTTCAGAGTTCCGTAGCTCTGAGGACACCTTCGAGAAGAGCTCCTCGTCCAGGTGGTAGATGTTGTCCAGGACCTGGGGCCGGGGGGCCTGGCTGAAGGGGACCGGCTTTTTGAAGACCTGAGGAGGAGACAGGAGTGAGAGGGGTGGGAGGACCATGTGGTCACGTGCAGGCGCCCAGCCAAATGCAAGGCCACAGCCATAGGTAAGAGGCAGCTCACGGGGCTCTGCTTGGACAAACCAGGTGGGGGCGGGGGGATGCCGCAGAGCACGGGTCACACGGAGACACATCTCCCTTTAAGAATCAATTTTCCTCCTAATTCAGTTCTCAGTTTGGGTCAAGCAGGTAGACTGACAGGTGGGGTGAAAGCCTGCTGGGGCTGGGGGGCCTCTCAGCTCTTCCAGCCTGAGAGCAGGCCGGGTCCTCCTAGAAGAAGATTTCAAGCTTGTTTTTAAAACCATGACTCAAAGCAAGAGATACCTTTTACATACTCCAAAAACTCAAACTCACTGCCATCGATGCTGACTCACGGCGACCCCACAGGACAGAGTAGCACTGTCCCTGTGGGTTTCCAAGACGGTAACTCTTTACGGGAGCAGAAAGCCTCGCCTTTCTCTCTTGGAGCAGCTGGTGGCTTTGAACTGCTGGCCTTGCCAATGCATAATCCACTACACTACCAGGGCTCCTACATTTTACGTAATAACTCATATACACACGAGGATTTTTTTGGATATTGGGGGAAAAAACCCATTACCTTTCCACCCCACTTCTCCAGGAACTTTCTGAAGCCCCCTAGTGTGGGTATGTGCATGTACAAAATTGAGATCCACTTCTTAAGATATTTACCGCCAAACAAACACACTCCCATCAAGTCGACTCTAGCTTGGCCGAACTGCCCCTGTGGGTTCCCAAGGCTATAACTCTTCATGGGGGTAGAAAGTCTGTCTTTCTCCCTTGGAGTGGTTTTGAACTGCTGACCTTGTGATGCGTGCCCAACTCCCACTGCCATCCAGTCGCCTCCTCTCAGAGCCACCCTGTAGGTTGGAGAGGAGGGCCTCCAGGGTTGTACATCTTCCCAGAAGCAGGCTGCCCCAGCTGTCTTCTGGTCCCTCTGCTCCAGCCACACTGGTAGCTTTCTTTCCCGAGAACAGGGCTATCTCAGGACCTTTCACAGGCTGTGGTTTCCGCCCTCCACACGTGCCCTCCTCCGGGTTCAGATCTCAGCCCAGAGAGCTCTTCCTCCCTCTCCATCCTTTCCATGTTAACTTAGCTTACTTCTTCTCAGCACTGAGTTCCTGCGTGTGTGGCCACTTGCTTTTGCTGCCCTTGTTGTGCTCCCGTAAAGATGCACCGTCTTGGAACCTCTATTAGAACTCTAAAACAGCTCAGCAGTAGTGGACGGGGCATATGAACCTTAGAGGAGCAAAACAGCCCAGGACAACTCCATTCTGTGACCCCACCCTCCAGAAGGAACAGAACAAGAAGTATTAGCCATCTTCCAGGGCATTTTTACACCTCTGTCTGTTCACTGAGCTTTGCATCCAAGTGAGCACTTTACACGTGGACTGCCTCACAGAGCTGTCACCAAACTCCTGGGGAGCAGGGGCCGCACTAATCAGATTCTTCCCTGACAACGTTTTGCATGCAGGAGGCGCTCAGCACTTGCTTAATTGTTCATACTCTTTCTGGATGTCTTCCCTGAACCCCAACTTCAAATATCCCCACCCTGTCTAGCAGGATCTCTCTTCCTCCACTCCCTCTGCTTTCTAGAGATCTTCCTTGGTCCCCCTGCCGAAGGGCAGGCTGCACGCATGTCTAAACCACTACTGCCCATAGCGCTCGTTTGCACAGGGCAGGCTCAAAGCATGTGTTACACAGGCCAACGGGTGCATGCTCTTGGGACTGAATATCCCCAGCACAGAGAGGACAGAGCACAGATCTCGGTTAGACAGGGGAAGACCCTTAACAGTCCCTGAGGGCTCTCTACTCACTTCTCTACTGGAACTGGGAGCATGGTTCCTGTTTCACTGGACAAAAACCCTACCTGGGCCAGGTAGGCCTACCCTATCTCATCATTTCAGCCTCTGTGTGTCTCTCCTTAGTTTGCTGAGAAAGCTCAGAATCTCTGGAGGCACCCTGCCTACCCCTGAGCTTCCCTGGGGCTCCTGCTTCTCTGGCTGAGCTGGGTGCTCTCCAGCCAAGTCCTGAACCATCACACCCCAGAAATGCCAGAGGAAGGGGCTAGCAATGGGCACCTTGGATGCAGCCTGCTCCCTGAGCCAGGGACAAGCTGAGGTTTGGAAAATGGGGCTCAGCTTTTGCCTGGTGAGTTTGGAGGCCTGCTATCCAGGGATGCAGCGTTTGTCAGCATTTCCATAGCCGGAGGAAACACAAGACCCTCGCCCTCTCCAGGAATCCCACCTGTCCAGAATCGCCTCTCCCCCCTGCCCCTCCACCACCCATCAGCAGCCCAAGGGCACCACTTACAGCACCTGCAGCCTTCTGTCCTCTCTTTCCTCAGCCACTCAGGGCCTGGGGTCCAGCCCAACACACTCTCACTGGCTGTGTGACCTAATGCATGGAGCAATCTCCCTATGCCTCCATCTCCTCATTCATAAGAGGAGAATCATCACTGTACCTATCCTGTAGGTGTTGATGCACAGGAGCTAATCCAGGGCCCACTATTAGAGCAATAACAATCCCAGGAGGTCTGGGATTCCTCAGCCCAAGTCTTATCCAGGCCACCAGCAAGAGACACTCTCAAGATGGGAATTTGTGTTCATGTCCTCGCTCTGCCCACGGTGCCTGGTGAAGCCAATGGCGAGGGTGGGGAGAGCTGTGGGAGTGGGTGGGCTTTCTCCAGGGCTCTCTGCTTTGTGGGACCTTGGTGTGGCTGGGAAGATGGACAGTGACCAACTGTGACACTCACCAGGACAGTGGGCAGCTTCCCCGGACGCCGCACGTACAGGTGGAGGGCCAGGCAGTAGGCCACGACTCCACAGAGCAGCAGCACAGTGACGGAGGCAATGCTGAGGACGGGCGGGGTGAGATCTGGAGGCCCAGAGAAATATGTTGGAGAACTGGCACTGTGGGACTCACCAGGCCACTCCCCAGGGGCTCCTCGGCCACTCTCAGGAACCACCAAGTGAGTCTCCAAACCCTGCCACCAAGGTAAGCCTCATCTGACACGGTGGCGCTGTCTCTAGGCCTCTGCGAACCACTCACATGACCCCACCAGGAGCAACGAGCCCAGTGTCACAGCAAGTCAGCAAAGAGGCTTTGTGGGCAGCCAGAGCTGTGTTTAAAGCCCGGTTTCACCACGTACTAGCTGTGGGCCTGGGGGCTAACTACTTAGCCTCTCCGTGTGTCAGTTTCCTCGTCCATACGAGTGGAATAAAGATGACTATTTTAATTATAAATAAAATCATTATATTTATTTCTATATTATAGACATATATTATAATAATATATTTATTGTAAATATACATAAAGATAGTCATTTTTATTCCCGCCTGATCAGATGGTTGGAAAGGACCAATGAGATGTCGTAGTTAAGAAGTCACAAGAACTTCGCTTCTTTCATTTGAGCCTCATAGTAACCTTTTGCGGTAAGTACAAAGGGGGGGGGGGCAAGCGCTCCAAAGCATTTGCGGAAAAGGGGGCTGGAAAGTCAACAGAAGACTTTCCACAGACTTTCTGGAGCACCTGTTGGAGAACTGACTACTCTGTCGCCATCTGTCCAGATGAGGGGCCTGGTGCACAGAGAGGCTGAGCGTCCTGCCTGCCGAGTGGGTTGGAACCCAAAGCTGGCCAACCATCGCTCTCTGATAGCCATGAAGCACGAAAGCCCACATGCCAGGGCTGTGAGTCCGGCCGGGCCGTGCTTGGAGGGGCTCAGTCCTGCTCCCTGCCGGGTGAGGAGATGGGTCTTTGCCGAGCAGCTCAGAGCAGCAAACAGGAACTACTGCCTGAGGGCCACCTGGGGGGAGTGGGGGGACTTCCTGGGAAGCACAGCTGCGCTCACATGAGCGCCCCACCGAAGCAGGCGACCTGAGCTACCACAGCCCGAGTCCTCGCAGGGACCCTCACTCACTGCCATTGAGTCAGGATCGACTCATAGCGACCCCATAGGACAGGCAAAACTGCTCCTGTGGCCTTCTGAGACTGTAAGTCTGCATGGGAGCAGAAAGCCTTGTTTTTCTTCCTCCTAGGGGACCTCAGAAGTCACTTCCTCCAACTCTAAAAGGGGCTAAGAGGGGCAACAGGTGAGAAGTGCCTTGTACCCTCCTGGCCCCAGCAGCCCTGACTGATACTTTCTGGGTTGCGGGAGGCCCTTTTGCCCCCCCACCCCACCCTGACCCCCTGGGCGGACTTACACTGCCTGCTGAGGGTGATGCACGTCTCCTCGGACCACACCCCCCCATTGATTAGGGACGTGACGGATGGCTTCACCTTGACGCAGAACTCGCCCACGTCTCCAGAGGTCGGGATGTTGTAGTGCTCAATGGAGATCTTGTTTGTGGACTGAAATGCAGACAGTACCATAGGCACAGTGCCCTGGTTCCGAGGCACCGTGGCAGGGCAAGCGGAAGCTATGGGCTTCTAGGTTGATTCCCCAAACCCCCGCCCAGCAATGCCCGCCTTCTGTTCCTACAAACACCAGTGGAATGTGTTCTATGTTGAAAGAGAAAAGGGAGTATTTTCTAGAAGTTGGGGGCCTTTCCAGAAGGGGCCTGGAATTAACTGAGACAGAGAGGAGAGAAAGTTGGTGGAGTTTGTGGATAATGCACGCGCGCACACACACACACACACATACACACACACACATCAAAGGTTTCCAACCCTTGGCAGCCCTGTAGAACTTCCTCTGTGGGTTTCTGAAGCTGTATCTCTTGAGAGGAGTAGAAAGCCTCCTCGCAACTGGTGGTTTGGTTTTGAACTGTTGACCTTGTGGGTAGCAGCCCAATGTGCTTCCACTATGCCACCAGGGCTCCCATTTCCTCATCTCTAAAACTAATCAAATATCTACCTTCAAGGGGACCAGGACTGATAGCTACAGAATGGTTTACATGATGCCCAGCCCCTAAAAGGCACTCCTAGGAGCGCAGAGTGGAAGCTCGGCTCATTTCCACACACCCCCCCTCCATCCATCACCTGACCCCCATCCCAATCCTGGACCTCTCTCAACTCTGCCAGCAAGGTCCCCCTCCCTGCACCTCCAGCCCAGGAGACAGGGCACCCAGGGAGCGGCTTACCGTGTAGTTCGCAGGCACCTTGCGAATAGCGATCTCGTACTCTCGGTAGTCTTTGAAGACGTGTTCATACGTGTCACGTTGGGGTGCTATCGCCGGCTTGGGGGGCTGGATTGTCACCAGGATGGAGCCGTCGCGTGTCTCCAGTTTCACACTGTCCACCGTCAGAGTCACTGAGTGGGGGAGGACACCATTAGGCCTGCAGGCTATGGAAGGCTTCCACCCGCCTTCATGCCTCATCTCCAGGGGGCAGCTGTGTCCACTCTGAGATCTGGGCCAGACGGTCTCCAACCCAGTGGTATAAAAAGATTTCCTGGGACACGTGTTAAAAAATACTAGTGCCAGAAGGACTGGATATCTAGAGATAATGAATAATGTGTGCGTTTATAGGGGATGTAGGGGTGGGAACTCGGGAGATGGGGAAGGTGAGGGGATTTCAAGAGCAAACAATGAATTCTGGGGTGGGATGGGGAGGGAACACCAGAACTGATTGTGATTACACAACTCATTGTAAAAGCGATTTAAACCCAAGGAAAAAATGTTCCAAAATTGATTGTGGTGATGACTGTACATTTATTCTTGACATGATTGGACTATTAAATTGTATGATATGGGATTATGTGCCAATTAAACTATTTTAAAAAAATACTAGTGCCCCAGACCCACTCAAGACACAGTGGATCGGAGAGCCTGAGACCAGGCCCTGGCAACATGTTTAAAACACACTCCCCAGGTCATAGGTTGTTTGTTAGCTCATTGGGCACGAGCCTGCGGACAAGCATCTAGGAGTCCCCGGCTTCCTGAGACCTTCAGCTCAGACCTCTGTTCCTTCAGGGCAAGTGCTACACACACACACACACACACACACACACACACACACACACACACACACACACACACACACACACACACACACACATCCCAAGCTCACTGCCGTCTAGTCGATGCCATCACAGCGACCCTAGAGGGCAGGGTAAAACTGCCCCTGTGGGTTTCTGACATTGTACGCTTCATGGGAGTAGAAAGCTTTATCTTTCTCCCTCAGAGATGCACACTTTGCATAACCCATGACCCCATGCAAACCAGACCAGTTGTTGCCAAGGCAATTCCTGGCCATGGCGAGCCCATGGGTCTCCAAGTAGAACTGTCCCGGGCAGGGTTTTCTTTTATGGAAGTGGATCTCCAAGCCTGTCTTCCGCGGTGTGGCTGGGACATTCAAACTGCCTGGCATCAGCGATTGAGCACAAACTGTTTGGGGACCTTCCCATAGAACACGCTCAACCCCAGGGGGCGACTGGAAGAAGCCCATTGCGTTTAGGGATCACCCATTTGTCTCACCCCCGCAGAGAGAGACTCCTTGCTTTTCTTCCGTAGCGGCTCCGCTGCAGTGTCTCAGACCCTGACCCTGGAAGTTCACCCCGACAAGAGGGGACTGGATCCTAAATTCTGTCCACTGCTTCCTGCCTTCTTCGGAGCGGAGTGTTTAGGGACTCACTTCCTCTTCTCCAGCCCTTCAGCCCCCAGGCTGGTCCTGGTGACTCAGCCTGAGCAGCCCCACCCGCCACCCCCGACCTCTCTTCTGTAGAATAAGCAACTCTAGTTCCTTTTTAAACCCCCGATGGCTCTGGCTACTCTCATCTATGCTTTTTCCAAAGAACTGTCCTCTCTAGTGCAGACCGCGAGGCTCCCAGGCCAGAAGCTTGGCAACTGCCATGGGCACAGTTCAGGGAACAGACAGCAAAGCTTGAGGCAAGAAGGCTGGAAGGGTCCCCGACTGCCGTGTTCTAGGCTGAGGGGAGAAAGGGTACCATCGTCAATGGTGAAGCGGGTGTTGGATGAGGTCCAGTTGGAGCATCTGCTGCCATCCACTGCCCGGACTTTGACCAGGTAACCAGGGACTTCACGGTGGTACAGGTCTAAGGTGTGCTCGGTGAGGTCACAGGACTGTGCCAGGATCTGGTTACAGGCGGGGATGGGCTTCCATAGCTCTCCATATCTGTAAAAACACTCCAGTGAGGGCAAGAAGAGGGACTTGTGCGCCAACCTCACCACTCTCAGAGGGAACAAGAGACTAGAGGCAGACGCCGGCCCAGACCTCAGGCCTCTTTGCTAGGAGCTCTCCTGGGCCTTCACCCATTTCTCCGTGGCCCAAACACCGTGATACCAGATTATGATTGGTTCACGGCTTAGCTCCTCCTCCAGGAAGACTTGCCACCCCTGGCAACACAGCCTAATTTCGCTTTGTGCCACCCCTGGCAACACAGCCTAATTTCGCTTTGCCTTGGTGGCATAGTGGTTGCACGTTGGATGCTGAGTTAGTTAATTGTGCCAGCCTGGCCGATAATCACATGTGGGG